CAAGGCCTAACTTTTTGTTCTCCTCTCCTTAATTTGTTTCAACACATTTAATAGTAACAAAAACTTTTAATAGTAAAATTACTAATGGAACTAAGGGACAGATAATGGTTAAATTTCATGCACATGTCTATGTGTCTCTTCTAGGAAAAATAAGCTTTTTTTTTTAGCATTTAGATGATGGATATATAATAGCTATCTAGTGTTGTAGTTAAATTACCACCCAAATCAGTATTGTTACCATTTCTCTCAACCCAAGATGTGATGCTTGGATGCGCTCCTCCGTATGTAATAATTAAAGGACTGTGTAATGCACGTTGAAGTTTGAACAAGAGAAGAGAGTAATCATCATGTACAAGTCAAGCCATCTCTATTTAGGACCACATTTCTTGTTCACCATGTTTCTTGTTACAAGGAATATATAAAAGTTATAACCCAAACTCCCAAAGATCTCTACGAGAGAGAGAGAGAGAGAGAGAGAGAGTACTTTTATAATGTTATTTGATGGGGTGTTCAGAAATGGATGGAAGTAGTATGTCTTTTCATATAAATGCTGTTATAAGGCGCCATGTTTTTCAGTGCCACAGTCGCAGCAGCAGGCAGAGGAAAAAAGAGTGGTGGGGAAAGAGGAAAGAAAGAGTTGGGTAAGTTGGGTTGGATCGGGTTGAATGGTTGAACGAAGAAGACGAGGAAAGAAGGATAGGAAAGTGGGGATTGGATTGGATTTGATTTGATTTGGATGTATATGTTACTTACTGGTCGAGTTACTGAGTTTCTTGCTACGCTATCAGACGACTCAACAACCCAACTCAGTAGTCTGTGAGTAGTGAGTGTGACTGTGTGAGTGGCTGTGCAGTGACTCGTCCCTCTCAACTCACCCTTCCCCTTACCCCTTAACACAAACAGACACACAACACAGTAACTTCATTCCACCATCAATGTCCCTCTCCCTTTCTTCCTTTCTTTTATCTTGTTGAGTTGTTGTTGCCTCAGAATCAGAGCCACAGTAAAAAGGGGCCTAAACCCAGTCCAGGGCCAGGGGGCCCAGCCCACTGTTTGCTGATGAGGACTGCAACGAAAGGAAAGGGCCCAAGAAAGAAAAAAGAAACAATATTGAAAAAAGAGAAGAAGAGCCCAAGAAAAAGGACAAAAGAAAGCATCTTTCCTTTTATGTAGACACCATTGATGCCCCTTTTTGCTTTCCAATTCAATTCTCGAACTGAAAGCTGCATGTGGTTTTCTTTTGTCTTTCCTTTCTCCCTTGATTCCTCACACAGTTTCCTCACTCACCGCTAGCTAGCTTAGCTTGCTACTGTGTCTGTATACTTCACAAAATTGTAAACCATTACCAACCAAAACCAACACAGGCAATAAGAAAACAAAAAGGATCCCCCCACTCACTCACTACCTCCTTCAGTTTTCTGCAAAAGTGGGGGGAAAAGGGGCATCTTTTACTTTCTCTTTTCATCTTGTTCATCTCATGCATATGTTACCACTTTGGAGTTTGGACTAACATTTTCCTCACTTCATTGATGAGTAGGGCAAGGTAACCACTATAAAGCTACTTTGTGTACCATAGTAACTTTCAACTCTTATTTAACTTCGGGCTAAATTACACATTTGGTCACTCGAATTATACAAATCTTTCACGTTTGCCACCCAAATTACTTTTCTTTCTTATTTGCCACTAACTTTACAAATCATTTCACCGTTAGTCACCGGCCGTTACACTCCGTTAAATTTATCCTACGTGGCAGTCAACTATAAAGTTTGACCGTTAACTAGATGATGAGGAAATTAAAAAAAAAATAAAAAAAATTTGTCCACCTCATTATTCCACTTACTTTATATATATATGATTTGTCATCCTCAAATTAATTATTTTTTAATTTAATTAAATTATATCCCAGTCCTCATCAGCGCCAACCCATCGCTGAACCCAGTCCCTACTACGCCACCTAGGCTGCCGCCAACACCACCCACTCCCCCCCCAGCACCACCGCCGCCCCCAAGCCCACCTCCCGCACCAGCACCACCGCCAAACCCGGTACCGCCAGCTCCCCCACCTAGACCTCCACCACCTCCGCCGCCGAGTCCACCTCCACCTCCTGCACCACCACCGAACCCGCCTCCAGTTCCACCACAAAGTCCGCCTCCGCCTCCAGCTCAAGCTATTGGTTTTCCGCCACGGCACTCCGACAACCCCCTGTCGAAACAACAACAGTAAATTCCCCTCGGAGTTGTACTTGGATGATGGTCAGGATGTGGTTGAGTAAGAGAAAACGTCGAGGTGAAACGACGATGACTTATCTTATCCCCGGAGTTGAAGTCAACGGCAAAGAGGTCAGATCTGCCGAAGGCGGAAGTGACTAGATCTGAATGGAGGGTTCATTCAATTCGCAGTCTCCATCATCAATTAGTTGTTTTTGAGTTCTTCTTGTTGGTTATTAAAGATTTTGGTTCACACTCGCCGATTGTGGTGGATGCTTGAAAACCATATCTGTCCACTGGCTACGAAAGGGGTCGTTCCTCGAGACGATTCTGTCGGTGGTCGATCGGGAGGGAGAGGAGGAGGCGAAAGTGGTGGGCGTAAATCGGGATGGTGCCGGAGGGAGCCGGAGATGAAGCAGATCGGTCTGGATGGCTGATTTGAGAACCAGATCCGTCACTGTCGCTGGTTTTCCGTCGACGGCGGGGTCAGAAGTCTCCACCATAGTTGTTGGTGGAGATTAGTGCTTGAAGACTGAATGTCGGTCTGAGATTGAGCATGCAACAGAAAGAGGCTGAAAGGATGAATGTGAGTGTGACGCCACTGCAACTGGCGAATGAGAGAGGCGCAAGTGGTCCGGGAGGGAGAGACAAGACCGGGAGATGTCGCCATTGTCGGAGGAGTGACGAGAAGAATGGAGAGTTTGGAGTTACATATATTAATATATCTGCAACTGAAGAACGTAATATATATTTTTTTAATTTAATTAATTTTTATTGAATAAATGGTATGATAAATTATATATATATATATAAAGTAAGTGGAATGATGAGGTGGACAAATTATTTTTTTTTATTTTTTTTAATTTCCACATCATCTAGTTAACGGTCAAACTTTATAGTTGACTGCCACGTAGGACAAATTTAACGGAGTGTAACGGCCGGTGACTAACGGTGAAATGATTTGTAAAGTTAGTGGCAAATAAGAAATAAAAGTAATTTGGGTGGCAAACATGAAAGATTTGTATAATTCGAGTGACCAAACGTGTAATTTAGCCTTTAACTTCGTGTATATTACCTTGAGAGACAGTGCGAGTACCTTTTTTTTTAGTGTCGGAATCTTTTTATGCAATTATGAAACAATTGAAAATCACTTCTTCAAATTTCAAATTTCTCCGTGTATCAATAGTTTATGATTTAGTGAAATATTTATTGTTTGGTAGTGTCTCTAATAAATTAATGGATAATTTTCTGATAGTGTCTCTGTTAATATAATGTAGCCGTCTGAGATATATTATGTTACCTTCCACGCACCAATTGTTTAGATATTAGAACAAAAAACAAAGAGTTGTTTCTCCGCCAAACAAAACAAAGAATCTGGGTAAAACCTATGACATATTCAATGATTATACACTAATAACAACCTAGCTCGCACTTCATTGGATATTAAGACACATGTTACCAACTTTCTAGAGTAAATTTCTTGATTATCGAAGCATGTTCAGAGGATTGGTGGGCCATTATAAATCACCTTTGTGGTTGAACACTTAAGTTTGTTTCTAACATATACAAATTTTGCAGTTCTTAAAGTATTATTGTATATAGTGGCTGAAATATCTAAAACTCGGTCTCAATCAAGACAAATACTTGTTCTTCCCACCTAAATCAGATTTGGAACGGAAGGGCAGCATGCCCTAAAGTGAAGCAGTCCAATGTCAAGTTATTTACATATTCCTAGCCACAATTATGGTCACCTAAAAAGGTGAGAAACAAGTGACAATGCGTCTCTCTAACCATATTCTTCTGTTATTTCGATTATCAAAATGTGATAGACGTGTTCTACTAATAAAACACATATTTAACCAGCAGGGTTCGAGTTTGGCTAGTCGCAATATGAATTATTTATTGTTATTAAATTGTAACGTTAGAGTTTTTGTTATGGGACAATTCAAGTACCACATCGGTAATACAAGGTACAAGGTCTTTTGGGGAGGACATGCCCAAGAATAAAATCGTGCTGGCTGGATCCATCAAACAAACGCGAATCGCGAATCCCAAGGTCACCGAATGAGGGTCCACTGAACTGACGTACACCGCCCCAGACCGAACCAGGCTCTGATACCACTTGTCATTAGTACTATATTGTCCGCTTTGGGCCAAGCCCGCACGGTTTTACTCTTGGATGTCCTCACCAAAAGGCCTCGTACTAATTGGGTTATGTGAACACTAATATACAAGGGTTCTTTCCTTGTATTATCGATGTGGTACTTGGATTGTCTCATAACCGTTTAAATTTTATCCAAAAATATACTAACATGTGGCTTTTATTTAATGTAACCGAGTAACCAGGTTGGCTTCAGACAAGTGAATATGGTAATTAGTATTTTTGCATAGATTTTTACCTATAGTTTATTATATTGTTGAAAAATTATCCATGTCATGAGCGGCCGGATGAGCTATATCTTAAATTCATCCAACAATAGTTTATTATCTTAGGGGAAAAAAACAATCAATGTCACATCTTAATGTACAACCACACATATATTGAATGAATATAGCGACACAAAGCAATATTAGTTGGTTAGATAGCAGCTGTAATCGATTACATAACTTAATATCAATCGATTATCTCATTCCAAGTAATACACAATTTTGTGTTACTTTATTATTTTATAAACAATCCTTAGAGAATAAACTTTATTTTATAGATAACAATTAAACGATTCATCACACGTTCACAACATTCTTTCCAGTATGATAACAACATTCATGTAGTATACGTCATACACGTGTCATTATACATCATCAACATCGGCAGCATAAGAAGTAGTAGCAGCAGCAATCGACGTCCCCGGCGGATAACGAGAAATGCAGTCCCCCCACACATTCCCATCCTCCAAGTCCCTCATCACCGTCCAAACGCACGTGTTGCACATAAACCCGGCCCCCAGCCCAACCATCAGAACCCGATCCCCTCTCTTCAGCCTCTTCTTCGCCTCCATGTACCCGAAAACATACCAAGGGCTGCTGCATGACGTGTACCCGAACCGATTCAGCGTCATCCGAGACGGCTCCACGTCATCTTCCCCCAGCCCCAGGCTCCTCCCCAGCGCGTCGATCACCGCCTTCCTGCTCGTGTGCACGCAGAAATGCTGGATCCCGCTCTTCACGCTCACGCCCGTGATCACCCTCCTCCGCAAAACACGGGCCACCCAAAAGCGTGCCAATATCTCCCAGAGTGGCAGCACTCTCGGGAGCAGCACCCGGAAGTTCGCCGCCAGTGCCAGCTTGGCAGTGTCGGCGGAGTTTCTCGAGACGCGGAACCCGGGGCAGCCCTCGTCGTCCTCGATCTGGACGACGCTGTCGTAGGCAGCGTCGTCCGCGAGGTGGGTCCGGACGAGGGCGGTCAGGTTCGCGACGGCGCGGTGGCGCCAGGACGGGTTGTTGGTGAGGAGGAGGCTGCAGCCGCCGGTGCGGAAGACCGCGTTGGGGAGCATCATCGACCTGTCTTTCCCTCTGTAGTAGTGGGCGCCGACGGCCTCCGTGCTGACCACGACGGCGAGGGCGGCGGGTGGCATGGCGGCGAAGAGGTGGCGGACGAGATCGATCCCCACGATGCCGGAGCTGCACCCCATCCCGGCCAGGCTGTACGACTTGATGCCTTGCTTCATCTTGTAACGGTTAACGATCCGGGCGGAGAGCGACGGGGACGGGGCGAAGAGGGAGACCGTGGTGACGAGGATGTCGACGCGGGAAGGCGGGACGCCTGAAGTGGTGAAAAGCTTGTCTAGGGTTTCGAAGATTGGTGCGTCGGCCTCCTGGAGGGATTCGTGGAGCGTCGCGGGGGATTCGCGGGATTCGGCGATGTTTCTGGGGCCGCAGGTTTCGGCGCCGATGCCGGAGGTGGCGAGGGAATTGAGGAAGAAGCGGCAGTCGTCCAGGTCGTGGTTGCGGTGGCTCAGGATTTTGGTGAAGGTTTCGGTGGTGAACCTGAGGTCGGATGGAGGTTTGTAGCACTGGTAGGCTACGAGGTAGCAGCAATAACGTTGCCCTAGCTGTAATTTCTGGCGTACGAATTCTGGAAGCGGATGGTAGAAATGGAATACGAGCAGGATGGTGATGGTGAGTGGGAGAATGGTAATTATTGCTGCCAATGATAAATCCATGGAGAGAACGGTGGATTAGGGTTTCACCGCTTGCCAGCTGATTTATATATATGTGGATGCTAAGGTTCTTAATTAGAAAATGATTATGTATGCGGGCGTTTTTACGTTGGAGGGAGTAGTTCGTTTCGTGGTGATCATGACATTCAATTAATTGATGACTATATCTCCATTGATTTTTATCTTAAGAGGATTTTAGCTAGTTCCCTGTGTATAGCAGATCAAATATGGAAAGAAAGAAGATGCACCGTCTTGTATCTGCATTAGGAATTGACGAACTTAACTATCCATTGGTTTCTTGCATGTGTTACCGGCCAAACATAACAAAAATGTCTTTCATTATAGTGGTTATTAAAGTCAGATTCCTTACGTCTCTGGCCAAAACTAGACCACCTACACATACAATCTCTATCGGCCTCATGAATTTGGGACCATGAACATATATGTGACAGCAAATTGAATGCAAACTGGCAATTTTATTTATTGATAGAAATCGATCTTTATACACAAGACTCTCAACACCAATGCAGTTAAAAGCGCGATTTTACATAGAAGCGAGTAATGGGTAAAATCGTAAAACGTAGAATCAAAGCGTAAAAGCGTAAGTTTTTGACGCACCCTCTAAAATAGCTAAAATATGTTCAAAACAACATATAGTATGTAAAATGTGAGTGTGTAGATTTTAGATAAGTGAATAACTACATGAAATTCATAATTAAAATGTAATATCTAACACACAAACTAATTTGTGTTGACTCAAAAGTAGAGAAAACTCATAATATCTTAATAATAGGCTCATAAACGTAGATCGTAACCCGTAAAAGAGCTTGAGAATCCAAATTCTCATAAGCTGGTTTGAGTTTACATAATTACATACGATCAATTACCCATAAACTTTTATCGTAACCCAGGTAAGAGCCATAGGTGAAGATTAAAGGAGAAGACTGATAGAAGGTCAACGGCTGTTGAGAATACCATTAGGTGTCTTTTCAACCTAATGTGAAGCCCTATCTCGACACTAGTTGTAGAACGAGTGATGAATCATGTTTTCGTTTTTTTATTCTTTGCTGATAAGTCTCCAAAATTACATCATTTTGGGCCAATTAGCACATTATTATGAGATGATCAAAATCGTAAAAAAACGCTTCAGAATCGCGATTTTATCGATTTTAAGCGATTTTACCGATTTTATCCATGTTTTTACTAGTTTTTGTGACTAAGCGACTTTAGGTAGAAACTGAAACGTTTTGGTGTCCTGGATAAGTAAAAACATAAGTTTTTACGTTTTAATGCGCGATTTTGACTGCACTGCTCAACACAAGCCTTCAAATTCGACTTTGACAAAGGGCTCTAACAACTCGATCCCTGGGAAGTAGCCCCATGACTAACCAATTGACTCTGCTGAAACTAATCGCTGCAACGACTAGTTCACCTAACCTACCCACTATTGACATCAAGCAAACATCAAGGACTAAACTGCAAAATACCAAACGACACGGTTTAACTTAAACGAGCACTAATACACTTAAACTTGACACCAGCTCTTTCCTTCTCCACAACGGATTTGGATTCAGCAACAGTTCAACACCTTCAACGAACATGATCTTCAACAGCCTCCCCTGAACTGAAGCATCTTCGATCAACTTCAGTTTAGCTCCATCAACCAGACCAAGCCTGCTGCGCATCAACTGGAAAGTCTCTAACTTCAATGGCTTGGTCATTATGTCTGCTATTTGCTCTCCAATCCCACAATGTTCCAACTCAATATTTCCATTCCTGCCAACTCCCTTAAGAAATGAAAGCGTACACATCTACGTGATTATTCTTCCATGCATAACTGGATTCTTGGAGAGCTTGATAGCTGAACTATTATCATACATGATCTTGGTTGTTCCTTCCACACATTCCAACCATCCCATTTGAGTTACAATTCTCTTTAACCATACACACTGAGCTGCACAAAAGGATGCAGCTACAAATTCTGCCTCGGTTGTTGAAAGGGTATAACAGGTTGTTTCTTCGAGCTCCAAGAGATTGCTCCTCCTGCAAGGAAGAAAATGTATCCACAGGTGCTTTTTATGTCATCCACCAGCGTAGTCACTGTCTGTGTACCCAAGCAAACAGTCCCCTTCTTCTTGTTTTCTGTACAAAATTCCAAACTTCAGTGTGCCCTTTACATACCTTAGCACCCTTTTTGCTGCCAGCATATGTTGCCTTGTAGGTTTATTATCCATGTACCTACTTAACATACAGACTGCATACATAATGTATGGTCTCGTGGCTGTTACATATAACAGGCTTCTAATAAGCTGTTCATATTCAGTTGCATTAGCCACAATCCCATCTCCAGCTTTTGAGAGTTTGATTCCTTAAGCCATATGGTTATGAGCATAGTTGTAGTCTGCAAGATGAAACCTTTCTAGTAGCTCACTGACATGCTTTTGCTGAGAAATAAAGATGCCACAGTCAGATTGGGTTGCCTCCACTCCCAAAAAGAACTTCATTTTTACCAGATCTGTCATTTCAAACTCAGCTTCCATGGATTCCTTGAATTCCTTCAACAACTCAGGACTGGTGCTGGCATAGATTAGGTCATCAACATACACACTGACCATTAGCACATCTTTTTTCCTCTTCTTCACAAACAAGGTGTGTTTAAACTCACATCTTTCAAAACCAGTGTTGAGAAAGTGAGTTTCAATTCTACTGAACCATGCTCGAGGGGCCTGCTTTAGGCCATACAAAGCCTTCTGCAACTTGTACACCTTGCTTTCTTCTCCAGGAACCTCAAAACCTTATGGTTGTTCAATATAAACTTCTTCTGTGAGTTCCCCCCTGCAAGAAAGCACTTTTAACATCTAACTGATAAACAATCAGGCCATATTGTGTAGCAAGAGCTAGGAAGGTTCTGATGGTGTCCCATCTTGCTACTGGTGCAAATACTTCATCACAATCCACTCCATATCGTTGTGCATAGCCCTTTGCCACCAGCCTTGCCTTAGATTTTTCTGTGGACCCATCTTCTTTCAACTTGGTTCTATACAACCACTTGACTCCAATTGGAGTCACTCCTGCTAGTCTGTCAACCAAGGTCCATGTAAGATTCCTTTTGATAGCATCCATCTCCTGCTCCATAGCCTTTCTACACCTTTCTTCAACTATAGGTTCTTCAAATGAGGTTGGATCCACTGACAACAACAAGAGCCCACCAGTTAGTCTCAGCAAATGTCAAGTTAGGCATTACTTGACAGTCAAATCCATCAAAATAAATTGGAAACTTGCGAGTTCTCGGTCCTAGTTCACTACTGATTGGGAGCCCCAAAGCATCAGTCATGTTCTATTCCTCCTCTTTTTCTGATTTTGTTGCAGCTGATGTGATTGGTTCTGATACTTCAAAATTTGTAGGAGCTGAATTATTTTCATTTCCCTCTTCAGTGGTGTTTTCTGTCTCCTCTCTAGTATTACCTTGTCCATCATCATCATCTCCTTCTTGTGAATCATACCAAGCTTCTTCTCCTCCTTTCAACACAAGCTTGGTCAAGACAGGTTATGTCTCAGGTTTCCAAATCCAACCTTCCTTCTCATTGAAGATCACATCTCGACTAATCATGATCTTCTTTGTTTCAGGATTGAAAAGCTTGTAGGCTTTGGATTCTTTGGACAGTCACAGAAAGTTGCACTTGACACTTTTGTCATCCAATTTCTTCCTTAAACTGTCATGAAAATGAGCATAGGCTAGACAATCAAATACTTTGAAGTGGTTTACTAAGGGAGATTTTCCAGTCCATCTTTCTTGTGGTGTCTTGCCATCGTTGGCTATAGTTGGACTTCTGTTGAGAATATGAGTAACCTAATCTATAGCCTCGGGCCAGAAAGATGATGGAACCTTGGTATCCTCCAGTGAACATCTAACCATGTTCATGATAGTTTTGTTCTTCCTCTCAGCAACACCATTTTGCTGTGGGGTGAGAGTAGCTGTCAACTGCCTTCTGATGTCTGCTTCTTCACATACATCTCGAAATTCATGTAATGGAAACTCTCCACCCCTATCAGTTCTAAGACATGCAATGGTTCTCCTAGCTTCATTTTCTACTTGTGCTTTAAATCGTTTGAAACAAGCTAGAGCTTCTAATTTTTGCAGATAGAAAGTAAATCCATGGCTTTCTGCTAAAGTCATCGGTAAGGGTCATGATATATCTTTTCCCTCCATTAGATGCAGGAGTAATGGGGCCACATAAGTCAGCATGTAAAAGTTGGAGTGGTCTGATGGCTCTCCATGCTCCTGCCTTTGGAAACTTGTTTCTGCATTGCTTGCCAATCATGTCGGCTCCACAGACTCCAAGTTCACCAGTCAACTTTGGAAGCCCCCTGCACTAGCCTTTTATGTTGTAAATGCAGCAAACCAGCCGTGCTAAGATGGCCAAATTGTCTGTGCCACAAGTTTAGTGTATCATGATGTTCAACATTAGTCTACAGACAGTGATTACCCTCTACAGTGTGATGTTTGGCTTGCAGGACAAAAATCTTGTTGGACTTCATGGATGTCTGTAGCAGCAGGCCATGCTTCTCATGGTAGATCCTACAGCTTCCATTCTTGATTGTGAATGCAAGATTCTTCTCATGCATCTGTACCACGCTTAGAAGATTTGACTTCAGACAAGGCACATAAAACACATTCTCAAAGACCAGAGGAACTTCATCAACTATCATTTTGATAGATCCTTTCCCTTGAACATCCAGTTTGCTTCCATTGCCCAATTTGACATCACTTTTGAAGCTAGTGTCGAGTTTGATGAACCAGCTCTTGTCACCACACATGTGATTGCTGCAGCCACTGTCAAGGAACCACCAACCACCATTCTTCTTCATGGTCTCTCCATTGGAAACCTTTTCTTCCGAGTAAGCCATCAAAAGAACATCATCTTTGATGTCATTAGACCCCAACTCGAATAGTGAGCTTGCCGCTCAAGACATTCTCGACTGAAATGCCCCATCTTATGACA